AAAATATATTGAAAAGTTTCTTATCATCTTTATGAATTATTTTATTTTTAGTTTTATAATTTTATTCTAGATTCACACTCACTATATTAATATATAATAAACAGGGGTGTCCTTGTTGTATGTAGTCAAATTGGTTGGATTAGATTTAGGATGGAATTGAGAAACCTTTATTACATAGTTGTAAACCAAACATGGAAAAATAACAGCCAACAGAATATGAATAACAATAACTTGGAAACAAACACTTTTACTTGTAGATGCCCTTAATGGCTTTAGCTAGTATTTCTGGATCTAGGTTTTGGATAACTTCTTGATTCAATGTCATTAACATCTCTAATGAGTAATTCGTAGCGTCTTTTTACTTCTTCAGCTGATTTTCCACCAACTGCTCTTACTACGTTTTGCCATCGATCAGGGGTGTCCTTGTTGTATGTAGTCAAAGCCAGAGACTTGTTTGGTTAGTCTGGTAGTCGTATAGGTGCATCATCTTCTTTAGTTCCCAGTTCTTTGGTTCAGGATACCCTCTATGACTCTCAATCTTCCTCCGTTTGCTGCACTACCCGCGCATCATCATGTTACAAAGGAGGTGCCTCCTCTTCCTCCTGCGGCCAAGGTTCATCCCAATTTGCTGGTGCCACCGACTGCTTCTATGCTATGTACATTGTCGAGGACCTTCTCGCTCAGCCAGGCAGATAAGGTTTACCAGTCTTAGATCCTGACCGACCAAAAAACACTATCTGGTACATTTCATTTTTTAAAGTTTTTTATTTATTTATAACAACATTAAAATATGGGAAGATTACTAGAATAACATCGAATTCTGTTATAATTACTAAAATAACTTACATTTTTATAAAATTATTAGTTTATTTTTTATCCTCAGAATACCCTTATTTTCTTTGCAAACAAAACTTTTTTTTGTAAATTTTCTTTCACAGAAAAAATAAATTTTTGAAATATATAAATAAGTTTGCTGTTAAAAATCTGTGACACTTGATGACAGTTTTATTCGTAATTGACATACTTATTTACTCCCAAAGACTTATTGTGGCAGACTTTAGTTCGTTAGAGACTTTCTGAAATAAGTCTGCTACACATGATAGTGTATTTAATTACAATAGCAGATTTTTTTTAACTGGCAGATTTTTATAGCAGATTTTTGTCTTATGATAGCAAGTTTATAATATTTCGAAGACTTTCATAATGGTGGGCATATTTTTGTCATAGATATTTTATAATTTGGCAGATTTTTGTGTTCATGAGATAATCCATCTCTTTCAATTTTACAATAACTCCAATAGAAGATTCTTTAATGGATTCCCACACATCTAAGCCAACAGCTTCCTCCATCATCTGCAAATTACCCAAGTGACAGTTATGATTCATTGATCGATGTTGCAGTGGACATTTTTCCTCTTCATAAAGTCTTGCTGGATATGTTTTGTGAGTGCTTGATGTAGACATATCACAGTAAATAATGTACAATGAAGTAAGGAACACATGAATTATATTTCCAGAAACTTATCATCAATTAAATTGATAATTTCAAATTCACAATTAACAAAATGAGAAACCCAAAATCTAGACCCAGAATAAACTAACATACATTTAGAAGCAAGAATACATACATTTAGAAGCAATAATCAAATTTATTGTAAATAAAAGACCCAACAATAAATAAATCAAAAACAGTGAGACTAACCTTGATAGAGCTCTTGGTCATTTAAATAGCTTCAAGAAGAGATTTTGTACAACTGAAGAAATCAACAAAAATAAGTGAACAAATCCACAATCTTTAGCGGAGCTGAGAATTTTGAAAAGGGATTTAGGGTTCGTCGGTGGAGAAAAAGGGGAGAAAGGGGAATGCGAAGGTCAGTGAAAGAGAAATGTATGGGATGAAGGGTTCAAGGCGAAAAGAGAATTGTGAGTTGAGAAATCTATGGTTGAAGATTTAGGGTTCATCAGTGGAGAGAAATGGGAGAAACAGGGATTTTTTATTTTGTCTTTTTTTTTTTAACTTCACTTTTTTGTGGTTAGAGTAGCTCACGATAATAACAAACAATTGGCACACGTGTTTTAGTTTACATACACGTGGTTATGGGTATATTTGACTTTTGGTTGGATATGTTTTTGTTTTGTTTTTACTATGTTAATCGAGTAATTATTGACAAAATATGTGTTAGTATAAGTAATTTCCCTTAAAATAATTAATACTTTTAAATTTGTTTTTGTTCAGGTTTGGGGTTGACGGTTGTGTCGCTCAGTGTGTAGCGGAGGTGATCAAAGGCTACTTCTTCGAGCCACATCCAAACTAAAAACTGACGCCGAACCACAGCAGAAAGACGTGGTTCAAAATGTTTGTTGTAAGTGGTTATTAAATATATAACTTTATTTTTTACTTATTAAGATTTTTTCGATATTTTGAACTAATTATTAATCTAATATTTTTTCTGTTACAACAAAAATGGCGTTGGTCTATAGGAGTGAACCAGGAGGTGAAGAAAGCTTCAAAAAGGCAGAAGAACAATTGTTGGACACGGTCTCCAACTGGAAGGATGATTATCTGGTGAAGGGTTATGAGCACGAGAAACCCGCTGAGATCACAACGTAGGTGTGGGATATTGGAACTTGCCATCGTTGATCAAAGTCTCTAATAGTTGCTCCACTTTCCGTCTGACAAAAGATGAGCATGGCAACACGCCAATGCTTCACTTTACAGGTCAAATACCTCACACCGGTATCCGTCTAGGGATGGTAAATACTTTAATTAACTTATATATATATATATATATATATATATATTCTAATTAAGTTTTCAAAATAGTTTTAGGCCCAAGTGGTGGGAGTTCTGCCATCTCTTAAGGAACTTTAGGAGAGGACCCACAAGAACAATGCTGGGAAATTTGTAGATCTTATGTCCGAGCAAATCTACAATGATGTTGTTGCTCGGGTTGAAGAGCGCCAAACCCAGCTGACCTAACAGTCCCCGATGGGATACCCATCACATCATCCACAGGTGAAATGGATGAGATTTACGAGTAGGTAATTTTTTTCTTGTTATTATTATTCATTTAATTACACTTTTTATCATTAATTAACATTAATCTTTTTTTCAAAGATCGTTCCTAAGAAAAAGGGACGTACGTTGGCGATTGGTTTTGTTAACGATTCCCCAAGAGCGACATCGTCTTATAATCAGCAACGGGAAGATGAGACTGCTCAGCTTCTTGCGGAGTTGAACACGACACATTCTGATTTGAGCACGATGGAAACTCAAATGGGTTCACTCGAGGACTTTCTGAACATTTTAGGAGCTGAAAATCCGTAATTGGAGAGGATGTTGCTGGCGAGACGAGCACCATTAGGCATTCAACAGCCAAATCGCCCACAGGAGGATGAGGAAGAGATGGAGAGAAGAGTAAAGACTTTGTATGGGAGTTCCAGAACCATCCCCAGCTACCTTTTTCTTTTTATTGTATTATAAATTTGAAACTTGGATATTTATAAAATATTTTTGTTTTATTCTCTTATTTAAAATTTTAATTATATCAAGATAATTTATTTATATATTTGATTATAATTTTTAATGTAAAAAAAAAAAAGAATTCGAAGTAAATTCCTTGTTAAGTTTACTTGGAATTTGCTTCGAAAGTCATGCAGATTCCTTGTAAAGTTTACGTGTCTTTAATAACGAGGTAGAGCATGTACTTTATGAGGAAACCTTTACGTGTCTTTTATGACGAAAGGGAGCATGTAATTTACGAGGAAAGGTTTATGTGGCTTTAACAACGAAAATTAGCGTATTCTATGAGAAATGACCTTCATGTCTTTTAATAGGAAACACCAAAACATTCTTTACGACAAAAGTTTTCCTCATAAAGTTACAAGGATTTAGCGAGAAATATGCCTTACAAAGAACGTTTCACGACATTTTGACTTTCGTAAAGGCTCAATTACGAGGAAATAAAGACAAAATTGATGTCGTTACATGCAATAGAAAAAGATGGAATCTTATCCATAGTGTAATCAGCTGTGCGAGAGAGATAATATGGAAGATGTACGCCAGAAGACCTTATTACCAGTTTGGTCGATGGATGATTATCATCCAGAGATGGGAACCCATTATCTCTCCCTCCTTTCCGTCGATGATCCCGTTCTGGATCAATATCAGAGGCATTCCGCTACACTTCTGGCACGAGAAAGTACTACGCAACATTGGTCTTGAATTAGGCGCACTTGAAGAATATCATCTAACCAAATCCTCTGCTAGGATTCGTATATTTCTGGATGGTCTTAAACCCATCGTAAAGGATCCTATTCTAGAATTCAATTCAGGGGAGGAAACAACTCTGGTACTAGACTATGAAAATCTAGGCAACCACTGCTCTTACTGCAACCGCCTTACCCATCTCAAATCAAAGTGTCCGGAGAGAATGCTCGACAACAACGTGAATCACAAGGAAGCTAGTCCTCCCCCAGCTTATCAAAGCTCTAAAAATATCAGACACGTCTCTCCTCGTCAATCAGCTACTGCTCCAAGACATGAAGCAACAAAGGATAACAGCGCTACTAGGGATCAGTTCCACCAGCGTGTAGATAGACACGGGAATCCTTTCGGACAACGTGTTGCTGCTGTATCTACGGCTGTTGGAGTGAGAAATAAGATAACCCCAGTTCCCAATCGACCAGCTTTAGCACCTGTTCCGGAGCGATATTTCAGGGCTTATCTTAGTCGACCCTACTATGGAAGCTCCCCTCCTTACACGGTGAGAAGGGATGTTAGACACTCTCACCAAATGGATAGGCGTAGGGATCACTCCCCGCCGAGAGTATCCCCCAAACAGCAGAATACTGTCATGTGGAGAGCAAAACAGGCAACAGTGATGCTTGGGAATGAGGAACCACATTATTCTCCACTTACTGCTAAACCCCCAGTGGGAAGAAATCTTGAGGCACATGATTTTCCCCCATTACCCTCCATCCCAACTACAGAGAAAGTTATGGAGGACCTGCATCGGGCCACACGCATGTATATTAACTGTGACGATCCAACAGAGAGCGCAGCACGTAAGCAGAGAGTCCTCGATACGGATACTCAACAACTTATGGAGGAGACAGCCCAAGGTATTATTGAAGCGGCAATAAGAGCGCAAGTAATTCAATCTAGTCCTCAGGTGGATCAAGAGGTACAAGTACCCCTTATACTCCCTCCGACTAATCCCGCCACCATATCTAAGTCAAGCAACCAACAAGCCCCTGCGATTTTATCGGGAAAGAAGAGAGGACGGCCAGCAAAGCCTAAAGATTTATGGATAAGCCCAAAGTCCTTTACTGGATCATCCTCACGTAGGCGTATTATGTCAAATATACATGCATCTCCGGGAACCTCTAAGGGCACACAGCAAGGAAGTAAACCGACTCGTGCGTCGGCTCGCAGAAGAACTTCAGTTCGAGCGGCATCACAGAATTCAGCACAGCTTCCACCACTACCCCCCCCCCCCCAGCAGATGACCCAGTTTCAG